TAGTGCCTCAAACAGAACAGCTACAGATAATAATGCCAAGTAAACATGTTGTTCTTAAATTTATCTTTCAATTTAATTGTGCTTTCAGAGAAACTTGATACAGTTCAGGCGGAAGACACATGGCGGCGATCAAGCCAAAGTAACGCGATAATCACATGGGGAGGAGACACTGTTCCAGAACTGCTGAGAATCACAGCCATGCACACGTGTGTCCATGCACATGCACACGGTCGTGGTGTGAATAATTCTTCCTGTGTGAGCACCTGCCTTATCCTCGAATTAGCAAGACATATGTCTCTCTACCATTAATACTTCTTATATGCGACGTAGTGACACTTTAATTAGGCAAATTGTATTCTTTTATCAAAGTATTTGTTTCCAGATCAGTTGATGTGAAATATTAATTTATTGAGTTTTTCTTTTCTTTATGCATATTCACTTTGTTTGGCTGGACTGTGACACCTTTGAATGGACTTTTTTAAAAGGCAGCTGTGCAAATTTGATAGGTAATCGCTAACAAAAGAATGGTTTTGATTATTCCCATAATGAACCATTATCATTAGCTTCTTTCAACAAGCTTACAAATACAAATATGCCCATACATAGTACATGTGTAATAAATGTGTGTACATTTTAATTTTAATGCTAATTCATATTTTTATACAGACTCAATACATGTTACTATTCAAGGTTGATTAAGTACAAGAGGGATGAAATGCAGCCAGTAAAACAAGATTAGAAAGAGATTAGAAACAAATTTTAATTAGAAAATCACCACCTCAAATCCTTTTAGGAAGTAGGCAGACATAAATAATAAAGAGAACCATTTAGAAACTTCCTGACAAGCAGTCCCGGGCTGGAATTCTGGAGGTTGGCTTTCTGGTCACTCCTCTAACGCTAGCTTTTTCTAGTGACCTTTAGTCATTGTTTGCTAGATCTTTCAGAAGCTGGGAACATATTAGGTGATCAGTAAGTGCCTCTGAATTTCATTAATCCCAGGAAAAAGGATCTCAGCTCTTTGTTTTCTTTACCGGATGATGTTTGAGCCATTTGGAGGAGGTCCTGGGACCAATTTGAAAAAGACCCAAGTCTCCCGGCTCTGAGCTTTGGAGACTTGGGATATTCTGGATCAAGGCTAGATTCTATGGACTTGAGAAAAGACTGGAAATATTTTCTCTTTCTAGTGTACAAACCTTAATGTTAAAGATACTGTTACATAATGTATACCTTGTAATACGCTTCTCTGCGTGTTACCATTAAGCTGTTTTTGTACCCTTTGAGCTTCCGGGAGGTGTCCCAGAAGGAATGAGATTTGCTCTGGTTTTTATTACCAGGGAATTGTCCCCTCAAGGGTCACTCTGCCTGCATTTGCCCTTGGGAACTTGCAAGGGTACCCCTGTCCTTCAGGACTTCTGCTTGCTTTGTTTGGAAATGCCCTTTGGGACTGATGCCTGCTGCTCCATCACCTTGTGAAGACAAAGGAGCATCAGCTGTATAAACACGCCAGCACTTTGGAGAGGACACTGTTTCTCCTTATTTTGTGATTGTTTTCTACAGCCGCTGTACCAAATCACCGCAAATCAGTCATTTAAAAAGACACAAACTTGTTCTGACATTTCTATCGGTCTAGCAATCCAACACGAGCTCCGTTGGGCTAAAATTAAGGTGTTGGCAGGTGTTCCCTTCTGGAGGGTCTAGGGGCAATCCATTTCCTTGCCTTTTCGAGCTCCTAAAGGCAGCCCACATTCCTGGGCTCACAGATCCCTCCCTGTATCGTCCAAGCCAGCTGTCTGAAAAGGACAGGGGAAGCTGAATTCTGTGCATTCGGAAATGTTGGAGGTGAGCCAGCTCTTTGTAAAGTTACCAGGCTACGGGGAAGCCCTCCCCTTCGAGGCGGACTGCTTTTAAAGTGGGGGTGGCATGTGTGTTTAGAAACAATAGCCCTTTCACCAACGGCTCGCCAAGACCTGGTAGACTGACATGGTTCATGGACTCAGGAGGGATAGAAGGAGGCCTGTCAGGTACCAAGTCCGCTGCTGCTCATGTGTGGTACCTGAAAGAGTGTTTCTTCTCAGCTGAGCTGCCTGTAAATAACAGACACTCGTTCTTTGGGATACCAGTCAGGGGCTTTCTATGGGAATGCATACTGTCGTCAGCTCCCCACTTCTGCCTCTTCTGCTCCCCACCCCATTTTGAATTATTATTAAACAGCACTCTTATTCCTAAAAGGTACCCTAAAATGTCATTGGAAAGAAATCTTTGAAAGTGCATTCGCATTTGTATTTGTAACGTGTAGTAAGGCACCCTTGATTAGAACCTTACTGAATGACCCCATTTTGGCCTAAATTTCATCCTTGGCCTCGCCCTAAAGGCTTCCTATGAAAATTGATAAACAGATGTTAGAGGGCCTGAGGAACCTGCTTAAGAGAACAGACTGTTTTGAAATACCTGAGGAACACCAATTTAGAAAAAAGAAATTATGCCAATCGAGAGGCTTTTATTTCATCAAGCAGATGCAATTAGATATTTTTCAATATATTGTTAGGGTAGTTTTGCGGCTCATCCCCTTGGGAATAATTGTAATGAGTTTGCTTGAAGATATTCTATATTTTCACCTTGTTAGCCCCAGTTGCTAGGATTTTGCCGTATTTAGTCATTTTTAGGGGGAATGTTTTCGGCAAAGTTTTTTGCTTTTTTGCTTACACTGTGGACTCTTCTCCTGAGCAGAGAATGGCTGCTGAGTGTGCCAAAATATTACAAGAGACTTCAGCAGGAAGACACTATTTATGATCATTTGAAATTCTCCATCCCTGGGAAATTCTCAAATCAGGCTTATGGAGGCAATCCAATTTGGCTAACTGCTAATTGGAGAAAGCAAAAACTTACTGGTGGGGCTGGCATGTGGACTTCCCTTGTCCTGGGTTCCCACCTTGCCTTAGCAGCAACACGCTCCCCCGGGCCCCAGGTAATGCTCCTCACAGGGCCCTTCTACCAGGTGCAGTGCCCAAACAGTGCTCTCGTGAGGCCCTGTCAGCCTTGGTGGCAATCAGTGAGGGTTCTTGCTGGCCTCGCCACATGAAAGGTGCCAAGTCTAAGATCAGATGTGATTATGATGGTTCACATGCCTTTGTTTTCTCATACACAAGTAAGGACCCTAATGTCTTAGATGTTTCCTGTACGGCAGTGAGGTTAGTAGGGAAAGCGAGTGTTTTCATCAACTGAGGGCTTCCGTGAGGTGATTTCAGGTTGAGTAGGGGACAGACTTGGAACTGGGGATGTGTGCCTCCGGGTCTGTAGGTCTCTTTTTCTCTCTGATCCCTTGGGACTCTCGTTCCTGTTTGTGTATTTGTAATCAGAATTCCTTGCCTTCCAAAATGGTGTCATTTCAGCATTTTTGGTCCAGCAGAAATTTCACCATTGCATAAAGTTTTTTTTTTTTTTTTTCTTTTCCCCTCTTTGCAGTTAGAACGATTTCACAAAGCCGCATGGTGCCACCAAGCCTCCAGGAGGAACACAGAGATTTCATGATGAAAAAGGAATGACTTATTCAAGAGAGCCCTGGTAGGGCTAAGGTAATGAGCTGAGCATTTCTCTAGAGGTCTGCTGCTTATTTGGTGACAACAGGAAACATTTTTCTAAACAAGAAGGTTTAAAACCTCCAGTGGAAGTAAGCTACTAAGTTATAGGATTTTTACTTCTATGTTGCTCAGTCAGCAGTGGCTGTGGCTGTTTTTTTTTTTTTTTTTTTTTTCCAGTGCAGTGAAACCTATTTCCAAAACATCCTCCCAGTCCAGGCCTTCTGAGTTAGGCCCCTGTGGGGAGGCTCCAAGGTTTAAAGCAATTCTCAAACTTATTCAGGAAGCAGAACTATTGGAAATCACAGGCCCTTTTTTTCTGAGTGTGATGAAGAAATGTTGGCTTACTGGGCCAAAAATAACCAATGAGAAAATTCAGTATAAGTCAAATAGAATCTTTGAATAAACTCTGAGATACACATTGTTGGAAACTGCGCAAAATTTAAGAAAAAAGTAGAACACAAAAGATGATCACTGATAAATTTCTATTCATTGTTTTAGAAAAATTCCTCTCGTTGCCTAGGAAAAGGCTGCCATTTATCAGTTTTATTGGTGGAATACTCAGGCTGACTTTTGGAAACACCTGTGTTCCAATGGGGCATAATTTCACAGTTACTGTTATAATATGGTATGAGCTACACAGTGCTCTAGAAAGAGTTCCAATAGAATTGTTGATGGCATGTGATTATGACCTCGAATGTAGTATTCAGAGCTTGCTGACAGTTGAGGCACAAGGAAATCTAATGCTACATTCATTATGTTTGATTTCATTCATGGCTTGAGGGAGAAGGGATTGGCATCTAAACCCAAGACCCTCTCTCCAGAGTCGCTGCATGGTGAGGGAGAAGCTGGTCTGTCAGCGTGTGCCGGTGTCACGCCTATTCCATGCTGAGAGAACGGCATCATTGCTAGTTGAAATGGGAGAGATGATCACTAAGGCTGTAGCCTGAGAAGCAATATATACCAACACCAGAGGGGAAAGGGCTATTTATTTAGAAAAGTTCACCATCAAGTCACTGGACAGGAGAAACAACTCATGGAGAAAATCAACACTTATTACAATCAAAAGGGAACCCATTGTAATTCGCTGATTTCTCTAGGCACGCTCAATGTGATGTTGAACAAAACTCCCTCAAACACTCAAACATCTTCTACCGGATAAGTAGCCATGATTGGAAAAATCCGTCTTTGTGTTGCTGTTGACACACCTCTTCCCAGGGTTTTCGGAATTATGTTTAAGCATGATACAGTGTATCTGATGTTAGCACACACCCAATTTAGCATTAATTTCTCTGGATGGAAATAGAAGCCGTATGTTTACGTTAGTAAACATACAACAGCACTATGCATTTGATCATTTCTGAGCAGACTGATTTTTTTTTTTTCGTCTCAAAGAGGGAGTTCTGAGACTTTGTAGTCTTTGTGAAGCGTCAGCAGCTTTCAGTACAGAGGCCACACAAGTTTCCTAATCTTATTTTATTTAATTTCTCCACCGGTCTGACTCTGATTAGAGGTTCAAATAAAATTGTGATTTCTTCTATGCCTTGATTATGTTAAAATATTTCTGTCTCTCTCCTGACACAGCAGCAATTGCATGAAAATTAACTGTTACAAGGTTGTAGCAGAAGAGCTAGTATTCTTTGAGGTGGCTCTATGACTAGATTTCCAGATGGCTGAGTTTTTGTTTTTTTTTTAATATATTTCAACCTCACTTCATAAAAACATTTTCACAAGGGTACAGAAATCCAGCGGAGAAGCGTTATCTTTCCAAGTGCGCTCACACGCACATGAACAGCTTAGATTTGGGGAGCCAGCAGGGGGCGTGTAAAACAAAACCGAGTTAAAAAAAAAAAAAGGTTGCACATAGAGTAATTTTAATCCATTCCATTTTTAAATACCACGATAAATTTAATTTTCACAATAAATTAAATAGCCATATTCAGTTTACAAAATAGAATTACTTAGTGTGAAACCAGTATTTACAACAATATACATTATGTACATGACATTTCTCTTTGTTGACATAGAACATGGAAGTAAAAGGACTTTAACTTTCCAAAGTGTGATTGACATGCTACAAGTGACACCATGGTCTATACGAGAAAACAATAGTGCAAAATCACCACAGGAACTTTGGGACAATGTCAATTTTATGAGATATGACATTCTTTCAAATAATAAGAAAACAGTATTTTCTGTTTTCACGGCACCGATTCAGTAGCTGAATTAAAGAGCCAGCTTTCCCTTAGAAAAGAATGCATAACTGGGTCCTCTACTTCCCGAAGCTTCACAGCCATTGGTACGTTTTCACACATAATCTTTTGGCTTAACTCTATGAAAATGGCGGGCGACAAATTCTGACTCAAAGGAAGACTAAGCTTTTTGAGAAGAGCTGAAGTCACTTTCCCCCAATACCACCACCTTTTCTTTTTGTAAATAGCTTAAAAGATGCAACTACTCGGACAGCAAATTAATTTTTGTAACTTTTCAACAGAAAAAGAATTGATCTTATATTTGGTCACACACTGTGTATGTACAGGTATACATGGAAAAAAACGACTTGGATAGTTGTGTCTAAGAAAAGTGCATATTTTAATCTAGAGGAGACATTGTGTGTCTCCAGCCACAACACATAGTGTTATAGGACTTACTATTTTAGGGCCAGTTCAATGTCCTCCCAGTGATCTGGTAAAATTTTTGATTGAAAGGGTGAAAAAATTTGCGCAGTTTGGTAATGACAGAGGGGTCCACCTCTGGATGAATGCGTCCCTTGCTGCCCGCCAGGCACTTATTAAAGATAAGGTTAAATCGCAAACAGTAAAACCCTCTGGTGGCATTAAAGTATAAATTATATTGACTTATCCTCGGGGGAAGGTTTAGGAACTTCTCCACGAGCTGAAGTTCTGGCAGAGGTTCCGTGATGAGGCGATCTCCATCGACGATGTGAAATTGCTCAATCGGAAAGTACTTTAACCATCGCTCCAGATGTTTGGTGTAGATGCTTGTTCTCACGGCCTTGTACTTTGTGTTCACTTCGCAGGTATTGGGGTCTATTGCCAGCTTCTCGAACTTGTAGTAAGTTTTATTCTTCCTCTCCTTCCCCTCTAGCACCTGAGTGTAATCAGAAATAGCTCTTGTGGTCGGCTCCCTGACAATGATCAACAACTTGATGGATGAGTTCATTTTGTAAATCCTTTCCGGAACCTCCTCCGTGATAAAATACGCTGGGCTCTTTTCAATGGTGATTTGCTGTGGGTAGGAAAAAGGCATCTTTTTCCTGTACCACTCAATGCCCTTGGCATAATTCTCATCGTTGTCAAAAAAGTGGATTTCTTGAGAGGCTTTGACCACAGCTGGATGGAGGTTCAGCATCTCCAGCAGGGCCCTGGTGCCTCCTTTCCTCACCCCAATGATAATGGCCTTGGGGAGCTGCTGGACCAGGTCATGAAGGCGAACCTGATCCTTGGAAGCGTTGCCCTTCCGGAACTCGTGCAGCAGGCCACGCTTAAACTGCAGGGCTCGGAGAGGGAATTCGGCCTGGCTGCGGGCTCCGAATCGGCCTTCGATGGGGCAAATGGGCTGTAGCCTGAAAGCAACAGACAGAAGCTTTTAGAAGCTCATGGTGACTAACGTATCATTTTTCTGCTTCCCTAGTTGGAGTAAGACTTTCAATGCATAAATAAAACCACTGGTTCCCAGCCTGCTGCAATCCATAATGAACATATGTTTGGGAAATTTTATTTTAAGCAATCCTATATTAAATGGAGCACACATAATTGATGGGATTATTTTTATTAGTGCTCCTTAAAATTTTTATTCGTCAAGTACTTAATTGACTACAGTGTGTACTTATGTTCACAGTACAGGACAGGCAAGTGACACTAGTCATACTAATAGCCTTTTAACAGCTCAGCAGTTAACATCATTTAGGAAACGTGAAAGGCAGAAGTGGAGCATCTTCAGCTGGGAGGGCGAAGGCTGGCTAGGAGGCCACATGTCTTTTGTGTTCCGTGGGGTATGACTTCCTTGCAACTATGCAGCACTCATGTGGCTCTTAGAAACCTGAGATCTAATCTAATAGAGGTCCTGGTCTCAGCCTGTGGCTAGTTATATCGTCAACCTGCAAAGATCCAATCTTGGGACTTGCTGAACTTTTCGTTCTATGAGAATTCCTGCCATGGGCCTTGGGGACAGCTAGGTAAATGCTGTATTTCTTCTGCCTCTCTCTCTCTTTCTGTCTAAAGGGGTCGGGATTATGGTTTGACTTTGCTGAATGTGAGAACAAATCCATTGCCATCCCCAAGTGCCGTCTCTCACCTCCCACGCCTGACCAGAGATCAACCAGACCTTGGCAGAGCCAGAAGCTGTGGGTACTCACTGCCAAGCCCAAGGATATCAGGGACTCAAGCGCAGGAAGGAGGGAATGCAGTGGATGGAGCCAGAAAGGAGGATTTCCACGTCAGCGTTGCCCGAAATAATGAACAACCACCACTGCTTTTTTCAGAGAGAAAGGCATGATAACAATCGTAATGATATTAGATTAGAGTTACGGCTTGATTTGGCATGGCTGATGTCTAGGGGTGGCATATGGTGTTTCCTTTTGGGTAACAGTCTGGAACCTAGCTGAAATTCATTATAACTTCCCCAAGTTTATCTGAAAAGGCATTTCAGCCTTCTTGCTAAAGGGTATAAGATTAGTCAAAATGCTGCTAAGCCAATCCTCCAGCTGAAGCTTCTAGCTAATGAGGCTGTCTCTTGCTTTTCCCGAGAGACCTACTGTACCATTCTCATCTTCTGTAATGTTTATAATTAAAGGGAGAAGAGGAAAACTTCGTCATGCCACAGCATTCTACAGAACTGAGGGAAAGGAGTTTGCCCATCTGCCTAGACGTCTATCTATCATAAGGCTTATGGAAAACTATACTTTATATATTATTTGTTTGTGGTGTTTGTTTTTTATGATTTTAGAAACAATTCATGCTCATTGTGAAAAACATGAAAATATGGAATCGTATAAAGATGGGAATCACAATTAATATTTTAGGTTAACATAAATTTTGTTTTTATAAATTTGTTAATAAGATAAATATGCTAGAGCTCTACATGGAAGATATAAAAGTAGCAACACATACATAGTCAAAAATATTTTTAAAATTGTGACATGGGGATATGACAAATTCATCTTTTAGCTCTTCTTGGGTAGTTGAGAATTAAGCCCCAGTTCCCTACAGCATCCACTGGATATAAAGGATGGACTTCTCTCCAATGCATCTAGAATGATGTTAGTACCATCTTTGGGAGAATTGAGGAAGTAGTCAAATCCTTTTCTCTAAGGACTTAATTCTCTTGCAGAACTCTGGCCAAGAGAGGCTGAAATAGACCATTTCTGTCCTATTAGGGCAGGAAAGACTTTCTCTACTTCTAGAAAGGGCCGTTCCTTCTTTCCTTCCTTCCTCTTTCTACCTTCCACTTTGGGAGCTCAAACCCTGCAGAATAATTGCTTTTTTGACTTCCTACCTCACCATAGGAGAAAATACATTATTACCATTTCCTGAAGAGTAGATTCTGAGCATGGGCCTCAGATATGGAAAAAAAAAAACATGGGATCTTAGGACGACGGGAAGGGAGAGCTAAGCCCCTCAACCAGAGAGCAGGTCTTCAGTTACTAAAGGATAGGGCTAAGTAAGTGTGTGTTGATTTCAGACGTAATTTTGTCCATACTCTCAAATGAGAGGTTTTGGGAAAGCCCCAAACCCATCCCATTAGAGAGAAGAGACACCAAGTTAAAAATGAAAAGAATTGGGGCACCTGGGTGGCTCAGTGGGTTAAGTCTCTGCCTTTGGCTCAGGTCATGGTCTCAGGGTCCTGGGATCGAGACCCACATCGGGTTCTCTGCTCAGCAGGGAGCCTGCTTCCCCCTCTCCCTCTGCCTGCCTCTCTGTCTACTTGTGATCTCTGTCAAATAAATAAATAAAATCTTAAAAAAAATAAAAAGAATCTTCAACTGAATAATTACTGTGCTAGTGATCATTGGATCAATTACTCAATAAAAAGGAAATGACTGGAAGCTAACTAAGCATAGGGGACGAACTTGACATAAAAGTTCCATTAGGGACATAGGACAGTGGGGCCCACCTCAAGGCTTTTCACTAATAATCAAGTACCACTTTAGAGAACTACTTAAAGTCAGTGACAAGCTCTGGATTATACCATTTCCCATACTTAGCAACCAGTGAGTGGGAAGTTCACTTAGGAATTTTGAGTTGAAAAGTAAAGATTCACTTTACCAGTCAAACCTAACACTGGCTGAAGGAAAATAAAACCACTGCAAAATTATTTGTTAAATAACCTAGTGATAAGATCTATAGATTAGAAAAGGAAAACTGTAAGGAAGGTATTTTCATTGTAAGTGTGGCTGGATTTTCATGGAAAATGGGAGTTGAATTCATAGAGAACATACTTCTGTCTTTCCAGTGCAATAATTCATTTTAAAGGGCAAAGAAGGGAGCTTTGCATTTCAGAAATTAACTTTTCTGTCTCTTCCAATCATCCCAAATGTGAGACAGTCCAGAGGTACTCAGTGGGAGGGCAGCTGTTATTTGCCTGGCCTTCTGCAAGTCTAGTACCTCTCAACGGTTTGCTCATTTACAGTCAAGTGCTAGTTCTGTAAATTTCCTTTCCCTGTATTTTCCATTGTTCTCTGGGCAATTACCCTGAGTGGCAGCCTCCTCATCTGGTACTTTCAGCTCCTGGAAACCAGACCTAATTTACATAGTTAAAACTCCCCAAGCCTGCAGCCATCTTTCCAAGGCAATGGATTCCAAACTTGATGAGCTCCTTTCCAGGCTCATACATAATCTTAACTCTCACGGTAGCACATTAATTGCTCCCTCATAAACTGCAAAATGAAGATAAATAGCTACAACATCACAATTTTGCGATGGCTAGAGGTCAACAACCAGATGCACACAGACCACACTGAGCTCTAATAAATGACATTTTTACTGTATACGGCTTTATCCCTTCTCTGAAAACAAATGTCAAGGCACACAGAATACAAATGGATCTTGACGAACACCTTGGTTTGAGCAACTTGGAGCCCTTTCTCCTAAAGGCTCAATAAATCAAAATCAATACTGCAGGAAAGCCCGTTTCATGGGAATTTTGAGAGAAGAAAACAAATGGATAGGTTTAAGGTTATGTCCTAAGGAAGTTGAAATCAAGAGACACTTGAAGTCACACGGGCATACATATGTGTTGATTACCTACCTATCCAAGCTCCCAACTCTGGCGACTAGATACAGCAGACTCCCAACCGCAAGGCTTCCCAGCACGAGCAGCTTCTGTCTGAGCCACGCCTGCTGTTTGAATAGCATGGCCCTCCATCAACCTTCAGGACTTCTGCAGCCTGAGAGACAGGAAGAGAAGAGGACTCATCAACAATTGTCTCTAATAGGCTCTGTGGTTTGTCACAAAGCCATGGAGGGGGAACACAGGCGATTAAGTGAGGTGTCATAGAGAAAAGATCCCATTCTGACCTTGACAATGTTCAATTATAGGTATTTACCCAAACTTGCCTTCCTTTTTTCTGGGCCATTGGTATAATATCAAATGTTAAACTAGGGGGAAGTTACTAACTAGAAAGAACCTGCTGGGCAATTGTCAAAGTGAACTAATGCATATATTATACTATATATTTACTTGCATGATTTTTTGTTTTGTTCTAACTGTAAAGGGAGTGAGATCAAAAGCTAGTTCTTTACTCTCCGAGGTCATCAGTGATGACTATCAGGACCTCAGATGTTGGAGGACAGTGGCTCCAAGTAACCTGATGTTGCCCTTTGCCCCCTCTGCTCAGTCCGGGATTGGACTGACTGATTCTGGAAACAAGCACAGACTAGATTCCCCTGCTGTGTGATCCCCTGCTGGCTCTCAGTGAATTCACACAGACTTGGTGATACGGGTTTCACTCTTCTATCATGACAAAAGCTTACCGGGAAGCTTTGTACTCTTATTCCTGAAGTAAGGCTGGCTGAGGAGTGTAAAGCTTTACTAGTTCTATTATTAAATTTGGGGGAAAAAATGCAAGCTTCCAATTCAGTCTTTCTTATTACAAAGTAAATCCAATCCCCCTTTCAAGATAAGATTGTTTGTTTCTTATTGAAACTCAAAATAGTAACCTGAGAAGAGGGACTCCAGCAGTGGGCCATGGGTAGAAATTATTTTCTTGCAATGGTATTTCCATGTTTGCTATGTGGAAAGGGATATACTAGGATTGATTGACGGGTCTATTTATCCACTCATCAGGAGATTACCGACCACCAAGAACATTTCCAGCGATTCTATTAGATTTATGAAGGATTCCAAAAAAGATCCTGAAAGAGTTTTAGCCCTTGAAAACCTAATTATAGGAGCAGAAATCGCAACACAACCAGAGAACGCAACCTAATTCATGATAATATATACATTATTGTTGAGGAAGGAAAATAAAGAAATGGTTGGGGAGGTGAGTTCCATGGGAATGCTTTTTCTGTGGAATATAGTGCATGATCTGGTGAGGAGAGTTTAAGAAGAATCCCAAAGGAGAGAGGTCAGAGAAGCATTTATCCAACAGTCAACAAATATTTATGGAATGTACCTTATGTGCTAGATTCTCTACTAGGTGTTAAAGAGATAGATGGTGGCCAACATGGGAGTCTGTGGTCTAGTGGAGAAGACGGATATTAAACCAGTAAGCATCAGATTCACATATGCTTACAAGTTATACTACCAGAGGAAAATTATAGGAAGTAATGAGAAAGAATAATAGGAGGAAGTGATTCAGTCTTTCCTGAAGAAGTGACACCTTGTCTGACAGCTGAGGATGAGAAGCAAGGAGGGCGGATGAGGGCACAGTGGGTTTCAGGCAGAGGAACCGGTGTGCACAAAAATACCGAGGGGGAAGAAGGCTTGGCTAGTTTGAGAATCTAAGGAAGATGATGACTGGACACAGGAATTGAGGGGGACAGAGGAAGGGCCAGGAGCCAAAGCAGAGAGGAGGTGATAGAAAGGGTCTTTGCAGACACTGGGTGAGCCTGTTGGTTTTGACCGAGCACATCCTGTGTTGTGTGTAGGTAAAATGGGGAAGAGAAGGAAAAGAGGTATTTCAGGAAATTCTCAGAAAACCCTATGAGTATATTAAGGAGGGCACATATTGCATGGAGCACTGGGTGTTATATACAAACAATGAATCATGGAACACTACATCAAAAACCAATGATATACTGTACGGTGACTAGCATAACATAATAATAATGATGATGATAAAAAGAAAACTCGATGAAGTTATTTCCACTTTATAAACAGGTAAAGTGAAGCTCAGGCAGTTTTCTCTAACTTGCCCGTGATCACACAACTGGCAGAGGTAACGCAAAGGCAAAGGCAGTAACTTGCACTGCGTGACTCAGGGCTGCCCCGAAAGAGTCAATTTTGTGTCTCAAGGTTAATGTCTAATGTTGAAGTTGGCAGCTGGAGGCACAGGCCATTAGCTGGGGGGCTCCGATCCCTATTGAAATGCAAATACTGCAGCAATAGGGCTGAGAAAAGAAAACTGCTCAAGTCCCCTAGTCACGGTTTCCTCCAGTAGCTCTGTGATCGTCTGTGGGGCTGCTTCGATGTCCAGGGCCTCTCTTTCCCTATCTATAAAGTGGGGACAGGCTCTGACCTCCCCACTCTGTAGGCCCACGGTGAAAATGAAGCAAGGCTTCTACCAGGAACATCACTGGACAGATTTATTGCTATGATACTAACATAAGGGATTATATGTCATCATTTGTTAGTGTGAATGAATTTCACATGTATTCATGGTCAGAGAACAAAGAGCTGTTATGTAGTTGAAGAAGGCCAGCTACCAATGGGACAGATGAGAAGAGTAGAGGTAAATGTTCCTGTCCCGTGGCCTTAGGGAGGGTCAGCAGCCCTATACAGAGAAGCAACTCAGAGGAAGGCTGGGGAAGCCACTTGGCCTCCTCCACTACCAGAACGGAGTGCCCACACTCTCCTGCTTCACACTCTGCGGCACGGTCTCCGGCTCACTGGCGCTCTGGTAGGTCTTTAGCTATAGGTCACCCAGTGTCTAAGGCTGGGGCTATCTCCCAGTTCCCGGAGGCAGGGCCTCTGTGCTGACAGCCCAGTGTGGTCATCTCCAACCGCCTCTGCATTCCTGTGGTGGGGGTCTGGGCAGCCACAGCTGCAGTGAGCCCTCCATTGCTGTAGGTGCTGGATGAGTGTGAGCGGCCGCCTTCGTCTGTGGGTATCACGACATCTCCCAGCAACGGGCTAGCCGTGCTCGCTGGCTCAGAAGTACCAGAAGGCTAACTGAAGGGTGGTGAGCCTGGAATCGCTCTGCTTTGCTGCACAGGCTCCGGGGTCTCTATGGTAGAGCAGAAACTTCAGAAAAAGCACACCTGCCACCACCCTCAGAGATTCCAACTGGATGGGTCTGAATTAATCTTGCATCATGTTTTGCCTTTTTTTTTTTTTTTTTTTACAGTGGAGTGAATGACACACAAACCTTAGTCATAGTCATTTTCTACCTTTTTTTTTTTTTTTTTTTCCTCTTGAGTCACCGGAGTTTAGCAAATTCTTTCTCCTTAATTTCTTCTTGTCTTGTCTTAGGGAGAAACTTAATGTCTCCCTTATTTCTTAACATTTGGGGATATTCTCTTTGTGCATTTCCTATGGCTGGTATAGTCTGATTATTCTTCTCATACAGGTTGTTCTGTCCCTCATCTGTTTTTTCGTTATTTGCTGGATCAAGTCCAATTTCTTCTTGAAAGCACAGGCCCTCCCCTCTGAGGGCCCAGCTTGGATGGTCAGTCTCCTTCCTTCTTGTCACTCCCCAACACCAGCCTCTGTGGCCTTCCGGTCAGCTGCTTAACTATTTCTCACACCTCTTTGCTCTGATCTCTGTTTCCATCAGTTTCCTCATGGGCCCAGAATGGCTTTCCTCCATTTCCTCCTTCGAGACTTCCAGATCCTGTTAATAACTTCCTGGAGAGGGTGATCCTGGTGGATGGGCAATTTGGGGAGAAATCCCAATATACTGTCCATTAGTGGGTGGGAGCTGTGTAGATAATTACAGAAATGAAGGGTGATCGCTGGGCTTAGGGATAACACTGGGGAGACATCTGCATGTGGGGGGGAATGACTGAGGCTATGAAGGCTACGGGGGAAGGAGCCCAAGATTTACAAGAATATCACAACAAGATATTGAACCTTCTACTGCGATGCACATGCCATCTGGTAAACAGTAGGTTATGAAACCTTACTGAATATGACTCCACTATTTTTTCCGCCACCCAGGAGGATCTTTCACTGTCAAAAGCACCAATACTCCACCTACAGACCCTCCCATTATGGTAAGTCCAGCTGTCACCGTGGAAGATTTGCTCCATGGGGTAAGCTCCTACTGCCAGTCTAGCTTCCGTTGGATACCTTAAATAGGCTCACCAGGGTATCTCCAAACATTTGTTTACATCCCCTCTTCTCCTTATGACAGGCCCATGGCACCCTCCAAAGCATCCTCTTGTCAGCTGAGGATGTTGAGGAGAACTACAGTTTTCATTCAAGAGCTCAGCTCATGTGAATTAGTCGTCTGCGGTGAGGTGCAAAGACCACTGAATTGGGAGTCAAAGACCCTGAGTAACATCTTGGTTTAGTTTTAGAATGGAAACTCTCCAAATTTTGGTATCCTCATCTGTGCAACGAAGATAGTAATGTCTATCTCACAGGATTATTATGACTTAAGCCTTGAGTAAGACAATGTGGGATAGAATTTTATGAATATTTGGGTACTTTACAAAAATGAAGCATGACAAATATCACCAGGAGGCTGAAATATTTGTTCTTGCAGAGCATTTTCAAGAGGAAGAGAATAAAATAAATGTATTCCCACTAACAATATAATTAGATTGTGAAAAATAGAAACTTTTTTTTAATATAAAGAACTTTTTATTTTTTTTTTTTAAGATTTTATTTATTTGACAGAGAGAGAGATCACAAGTAGAGAGAGAGAGAGGAGGAAGCAGGCTCCCCACCTAGCAGAGAGCCCGATGTGGGACTCGATCCCAGGATCCTGGTATCATGACCCGAGCTGAAGGCAGAGGCTTAACCCACTGAGCAGCCCAGGCAGCCCAATATAAAGAACTTTAAAAAAAAAAAGATTTATTTATTAATTTATTTGACAGACAGAGATCACAAGTAGGCAGAGAGGCAGGCAGAGAGAGGGAAGCAGGCTCCCTGCTGAGCAGAGAGCCCAATGCGGGGCTCGATCCCAGGACCCTGGGATCATGACCTGAGCCAGAGGCAGAGGCTTAACCCACTGAGCCACCCAGGTGCCCCAATTTAAAGAACTTTTAATGGAAACTA